GTCCCTTTTGGCCCTATCTTCATGCTGCTATACTGAATATCTGAGTGAAATCATCAAGACATTTGCATAACAGATCTGTGTGCCCAACTGACCTGATTTGTTCCTGCTAAGATACTGCCCATAAGGAAAAGCAAACAGAAGACATGCATTTGTGGCTATTTAGGAAAAGGAGATCTTTCAACCTATTGGAGCAAGTTGTCAGTGAATATGAAGGTGAAGTGGGCACACCGATTTATTAGGTGCTTAAAGAAAAAATGTTTAGGCTGATGAACCACAACTGAGCTAATTTAATGGAAGGACAAATCAATTAGAGCTGAACTAACAAAAATACCCTGTCTTGTCACAGACTGCCTACCTGCAACTTGAAATAAGCTCCAGATTTTTTGCATTATTTACAACAGAAAAAAAAAAAAAAGGATTTCTGTTCTTGGGCAAATTCCTGCCTTCTAGATAGTGACTGGTAGGTAGAGCTTTAATTTTTTTTTTATTATTCCTTTGGAGTCTTCAGATTAATAAAATACAGTTTGAACAGCCTGAGTAAGAAGGGAATATGGTCAGTGTAAGATGCACAGGGCAAAATAATCCTCAGCTCCAGACAGCAGTGCATGGGTAGCTGCTCCTAGACCTTACAGCAGGTTATACAGGAGTAGCTACCATGTACAAGTTGCCTTCCACAGATGACTTGCCAAAAAACCCTCCACCATTTACTACTGCACAATTAAAGGTTTCAGAAATCCCCCCTCTAGTATGAAGAAAACCAGCATCCTCCTTTAAAGATCCCCAGCTTTTTTATCCACAAAACAGACATGCACATCTATCCTGCCTTTCTGACCGTGCACATACAGAGAGGCCCATCCTAGAACAGGGAATGTGAAATATCCATAGATTAACCCATTCCATATATAACTTGCCGCTATTGGAGCAGGATGCTAAACACCATTTGCTTCAGCTGAGAACATAAATCAGTGAATGATTATCTGTGAATGGTTGCCTGTTTATAAAGGCAAATACCAATCAGTGTATAGCCTGAAGCATAAAGGATTGCTTGTATATTTTGTCCTGTTTTATGTATCTGTGGATGTTATTTATGACAATTTTTTACTGGATCGACGTCAATGGATTCAAAGTATTTGAGGGTCAGCGACATTTAAAAAAAAAAGTCTGTAGACTTAGAGCAAGATTCATAAAAGCTGAAAAAAAATGATGTTTTGAGACGGAAGGACAAGTATAGTTTTGAGAACGCACAACTGCCATCAGCCAACACAATGGAAAACAGGTTCTGAGAACATTCAGCATAACACTGTATCCCCCTTCTAAATCCCTTCATAACTAAACAATTGCAGTTCAGGTCTTAACCTGGCATCAGAGCAGCAAGAAAAAAAAAATCCTTTCTATTTTGGCAGGCTGCTTATAATCATCTAAATGGCTCCTTTTGTATCTTCCTTTGAAAAACACCAAGACGAATGTAAAAGAAGAAGAGTACATGGCACTCCCCTTTTGCAGTACAGCAGTTCCTACGTTTATGGCTGGAAAGCATTTTCTGGTACTGTTGAACGTTGTAACACTAGACAGGACCAAAATAAGCTGCAGCTATTCAGATGCTAAGTTGTGAGGGAAGCAGGGACAATCTGGAGGATGTATTTCTCAAAAGCGATGATTGAGGGTTTTGCATTTTTTCTTGAAAATTAATCTTTTCTTTGGTTTGCTTTTATTAAGACTGTTAGATGGCTAAATGGGAAACCAATTAAAGCAAGATCACTGGGCAAGTGATGTCTGATGTGTTTCAATTTGGTCAGCACTTTTGACCCCATAGCTGTTACCTACCATGGACAAAATACAATCTGTTACAGGAATAATACAATCCTGATGTTTTGCTATCTTAAAGCTGCAAGTCTAAGTGGAAAGAGACTCTGGAACAGACTCCAGCAAACTGCTCTGACGAGAAAGATGGAGCTATAATTCTATGCTTAACCAAAAGAAAGCAAGACCATAAAGATACACAGAACATGTAAGGTCACTGAGGAGGATACCTGCTAGACTACCGCTTTACGTGGACCAGGCTAACTAGACATGATGTAACTAGGCATGGGAATTATTTTCCCAAGTCTAATTAGCAGGTAGCAACAGATTTGCTAGTTTTGCTAGCTGCTTTTCTGATAAAAATGGTTAGCACGAATATGAGAAATATTTTGTCAGATTAAAAAAAAAAAAAAAGGCAGAAATAGGACGAATTTTGGTAGGATGTGGAATTATTAATTATCAGAACTGATGAACGGAATTTCTTATACGGCACCAATCGCTATCGAGAAATAAAAGGAGATAATACTAATGAAAGCAGGCAAATTGAGACTACCTTGTTTGACAGGTATTTAATGCCTCCATTCACAACACTGTCCCTAAGGGCAGAATCAGGCATGACCATCCAAGAGAGCTGTTCCCTGAAGGATACAAAGGAGACATAAGATTGCTTATTCAAGCAACCTCCTGTCATTTGCAATTCAAAGTGCTGCTTTACTTTCCCAGGTCACTCAAAACTCTCTCGTGACTGAAGTCATAACTGGAATTTAGTTATTCCACATCCTGTTTACTAATTCACTGATAAGTCCCTCTCACCATGCTAACCATTCACTGCATCACATGGCTTCTTTTCTACACTAGAACAAATCAGCCCTTCCATTGATACCTTTGTAAGCACGTTGTCAAGATTTGTTCCACTTCAACACCGAAGCAAAGCGCTGGCCTTGTGGCCTGGAAGCAAGATATCACTGTAGCAACTCGATGTACTGGTGATACTGCATGGTTTTTCTTCTCTTCCTCCTTACTGTACCGCACTCTTGCCAAAAGTTAACTTTACAGGAGAGTGATTCCTTTTGAGAGGACAGACAGGGCTGCCTCTATTGTCCTGACTCAGCACACTCAGAACAAAATGAGGACCAACTGCAGAAAGAGACATTTGTAACGCTTTCTCCAGAACATAAAATACACAGAGTGAATGCGCAGCTGGCCTGGTAGCAGCAACAGAGCCTAAGCCTTTGCTCTTCATTTGGCAGGAAGAGCTGCGGTGCCTGCATAGGAAGGAAATATTTTCTTTTCACCAGACCTCTTTGCCACATTCAAGAACACCAATGAGAAGATAACAGCAGCTGACTCAAGAAGCGGACAGAGCCTGTGAAGATTTTTCTTTTAGAAAATAGCCAGTATATTGCCGATCCAGTATACATGGATCTTTCTAGGTTCCTATCAACCTTGATTATTACACCTCTAGTAATACAGAAACCAAGATCCTGAGCTGAACAAATTCAAAGAGAAATGTCTTAGTCAGGAGTAGGAAACTGCAGAATTAACCAAGATGTGTAGCACAAACCGACTTCAAACATGTAAAATAAAATCACCGAATGAAGGATTTAATGTTGGGTTCCTAAGATTTCTACCATGCTGACAGTTTCTGTGATTAAAAAAAGCCACAAATCTTGTTCTCAGAAATTCATTATGTAGTATTGTACACTAAAATACAGGATGCTGTTATACAACCAAGCATCTGGGGAGATTATTACACCTCTAGTAATACAGAAACCAAGATCCTGAGCTGAACAAATTCAAAGAGAAATGTCTTAGTCAGGAGTAGGAAACTGCAGAATTAACCAAGATGTGTAGCACAAACCGACTTCAAACATGTAAAATAAAATCACCGAATGAAGGATTTAATGTTGGGTTCCTAAGATTTCTACCATGCTGACAGTTTCTGTGATTAAAAAAAGCCACAAATCTTGTTCTCAGAAATTCATTATGTAGTATTGTACACTAAAATACATGTTATTGTTATACAACCAAGCATCTGGGGAGATTAACCCCGATTTAAAAAAAAAAAAAATCTCTGAGAAAAGCAGCTATTTAATAGAACAAGGATGATGGCAGAATACCACCGGATTTTTGTGCAATTGAATCAAGTTGGATGTTAGGAAGTATTATTCTACCAAACAACAAGTCAAACAGAAATATCTACCTTGATCCGAAGAGGTG